GAGAGACTCAGGAAATGAAGCCGGGAGCCCTGGAGGGGGCAGCGGGCCCTGGGGCTGGAGGTAGCCACGTGGGGAGCAGGGCCAGGGGGATGATGTCCCTGGGGGGTAGGGTGGGTCATGCGGGCCTGTCGCCCTCGGGGCTGTGGCTCTCTCTCGGTGGGAGCCAGGGAGCTGGGGCGGGGAGGAGGGACTTGGCAGAGCACAGGGACACGTGAGCCTCTGTGACAGGGTCTGTGTGTGAGCTGGACAAGGCTGCAGGGACACGCTGGACGCGGGAGGCCGCTGGAGGGTCCGCGGTGATCCAGACACGAGGCAGTGACCACAGGGACCGGCACAGGGGCCGTGGTGGTGGGACAGTGGTCCCGCGGTGAGTGCACTTCGGAGGAGCTGAGAATGAAAGAAGGGGCGTCCAGCCCGGCCGGGGTGGCTCAGTGGTTGAGCGTCAACCTAGGAGCCAGGAGGTCAGGGTTCGATTCCCGGTCAGGGCACATGCCCGGGTTGCAGGCTCGATCCCCAGTGTGGGGCGTGCAGGAGGCAGCCGATCCATGATTCTCTTTCATCGTGGATGTTTCTCTCTCTCTCAGCCTCTTCCACTTTTTCTCTAAAAAAAAAAAAGAAAAGAAAAGAAAGAAAGTCGTCAGCGGGGAGAGCCAGTCTGCGAATCACGATATGGAAAAAATGTCGAGGGCGAGTGAGGGACGCCGGGAGCCCCCTTCGTTCCAGTGAAGAGGAAGGAGAGTTGGCAGGGAAGCGAGGAAAAACGCAGGGCACTTCCTGCGGGGAAGAGGCGGGCTGTCCTTGGAAACTTCTGGAGGCATCAGCCGAGGACTGTTCCTCTTCCCCGAAAAAACCCTTCCCGTGGCTCACCTGTCCCTCCCTCCCCGGAAAGCAGTGATTTATGGGTGTCACGTACTCCCCGTTGGGAGCAGCTCGACCGACGCTGCTGGGCCAGCCTCCGGGCGGGGAGCCTTTGGCGCTCGGTGGGAGCTGAGGTTTGGGTGTTTGCTCGCAGTCGCGAATGGCCGGACGGGGCCTCGGAAAAGAGCCGTGGGCCCGGTCTCGGCTATAAAAGCCTGTTTAGAACCGATGGGAACCTGGACTTCAAGTCTACAGAGACTCCGGTCCCCAAGCAGGAACTGGCAACCACATATTTACTGCATCAACATATGGGGGTTCCTTGGGGGTCATTACCCTCCCATTGTGGGGGCCCAGAGGGGCCACCTCTAAGACCACAATGGACCCCAAAAAGAATGGAGAAGAAGGGAGAGAGAGAAACATCAATGATGAGAGAGAATCACGGATTGGCTGCTTCCTGCACACCCCCCACTGAGGATGGAGCCTGCAACCTGGGCATGTGCCCTGACCGGGAATCGAACCATGACCTCTTGGTTCATAGGTCCACCCTCAACCACTGAGCCACGCGGGCCGGGCTGGAGGCCTCATCTCCGCCTCGCATTCCTCTCCGTAACTGGAGTGTCGGGCACAGCCAGTCTACAGGGGCACGTTGCAATAGAAAAGCCACAGAAACCAAATTGAAAAGAAAATTTATGACCCTTTTCCAAACCAATATCCGAAAGCTGACCGAGACAGCCAACCAGATACGGCCCCTGGATTGCAGGAGGAATTTAAGGGGCACTTCTGGCTAACCACACGCACGCGGGGGCGGCTGGCCATCTCCCAGGCCCCCAGGGCACGGATGAAGGATGTCCCAAGGACCTCGCTGGGGATGGAGAGCGAGGCTCTGCTCGCCGACGATGGGCTCATCTCCTACTTCTTTCTGCTCATCACACTGATTGCTCATCCATTGCGGGTCCTCAGGCCCCTGTGCTGGCCCATCAAGGCCACAGGAAGTTCCGAGGGAGCTGGAGGGCTCGAGTTTCTGTGCCTTAGAGATGGAGGCGGTGCGGCAGGTACGGGGCCAGATGTCTAGAGACGATGCCCCATTCTTTTTCTTTTTTTAAAATATGTTTTTATTAATTTCAGAGAGGAAGGGAGAGGGATAGAAACATCCATGATGAGAGAATCATGGATCGGCTGCCTCCTGCACGCCCCTCACTGGGGATGGAGCCCGCAACCCAGGCATGTGCCCTGACCGGGAATCGAACTGTGACCTCCTGGTTCATAGGTCGACGCTCAACTACTGAGCCACGCCGGTCAGGCTGCCCTGCTTCTTGTTGGATTAGGTAACAGCTCATGTATTGCACGTGATGGCATTATATTCTGTTACTTGCTGCTCAAAGCCACCAACTGCGATCGATGCTCACAGTTGCCCAGCTGGATTGAGACAGAACCAGGATAAATGCCAGGCCAGCGCCCATCCTAACCTGGAATTGCACGTGTAAGGGTTTCCCGCCCCGTGTGGAGCATGCACCACATAGCGGACACACACTTGCTTTGGGGCCGCATCTTCATCTGAACTGTCAGGAAGAATTCCTACCGACAGGCCCGGCTCCCGGCTCCACCCACCAGGGACGCCTAGTGCTCTGCCCACAGGCCTGGCTGGTGCCATAGTTTTCCTGGGGTGTTTGGCTGATCAGAGCAGGTACTGACGGAAAGTTTTCTGTGTGTGTGTGTGTGTGTGTGTGACTGAGTGTGAATGTGAGCAGGTGTATGTGTTGTGAGCTGTGTGCACGTGTGTGAATATGAACATGTGTGTGAGCTGAGTGCACGTGTGTGTGAAT